ATCTATTTGAAAAAGGAAGATCAGTGGCCCTAATACAGGTCCCTGTGGCACGCCACTAATTACATCACCCCAGCTGGAGCATTCATGTCTCATCTGTACTTATTGGCTTTGGTAGTCAGTAGGTGATTGATCCATGGATCTCATCCAGCTGTTTCTTGGAGGAAACCACTGTATCAGCTTCAGCAACATGGCTGGGTAGCTCGTTCCATTCTCCAACAACCCTTTGGGTATATAGTGCCTCCTATTTTCAGTTTCAGCCCACGTAATTTCTACTTCTGTCTTCTATGTGGTATTTCACTGTTTGTTCTGAAATCCGCTGGGGTGACTTTGTCACTGCAATACTCAATACTTGGATACATTACTGTGAAGGCATATTGCCTGAAGTCTGAGACTTCATCTTGCGTGAGGGGTGAGTAAATTCTGAAAGTCTGTATTCTCCGTCATTGTTGTTGCTGGTTTAAAGCATGTGACCAATTTAGCGAAGTAAAACCTTACATTCAGCATTATTGGACATTGAAGCAGTTGGTTGCTTTGTTTTTCTTCTGTGTTTATGGAAGTGACCTAACAAAAGGACACACAAAAAACTCATCCCAGTCCTTTTTGCAGATAAGTAATCTGAAATATTGCAAAGCTTTCAAGACCTGCTTTGGCCTGAAAAAATGTTGAATATGTCCTGAAAATGCTCTGGTGTTGAACACTTTTTAGGATTTGGTGAAAAGCCAAATAATAAAAAAATACAAGATCACTAAATACTATTTAGATTCTCAGTCTTCTACACTGACAGGAAAATACAATAAGCACTTTCATGTCACAGTTTAAAATATGTGGGAAAATTATTATTACAAACTGAGCTGGTATTCACGTTGTGTTTCTGATCAGCAGTGCAGATACCACTAAACTCTTCTGTGATTTATGTGTGTGGTTGGAAATGCTTTTGAAGAGCACACGATTCATTAATAAGGCTGCATTTTATTGTGGTAAAATACAAATCTGTTGCTTTTCTGCATCCTGTTGTTTCTCATGAAATGAGCTGTGATTATGTAATCCATAGAAAACAGTGTTTCAAAGGCACTATTTAGTGGAGCCTTCAAGATGTTGTTCTTTCACTGGGGACTGGTTTAAACCACAAAACTCAGCCTGTAGATCAGTGTGTTTCTATAGATGTAACGAACAGTTCTTTCCGGACCCTATGCGGACGACACAGTCCGACGGAGTGGGGAAACACTGGGGAAACGTCATGCAGGAAAACGGGGCTGAAGACAGGGGGGCGTGTCCAAAGTGCGCTGGTGCACGGGGAGGTGTGGCCGAGGCGAACAATCCAAAAGAGAAGTCCTTAGGGAATATCCAAAACACAAGGGTAAGTCCAAAATCAGGAGATCCATCAGAACAAAGAATTAAAAACCACGAAGGCCGGGTCGGAACCGGCGGACGGGGAACAGGAACGGGAACGGAGGTTAAAACCTTAACGGGACCAGACGCTTCCAGGTCCCGGACTCGCACGATATGGAAATCAGACTGCAGAGCCCGGATGAGCGTCAGCGCCTGGCTTTTAAGGTGGGTTGGGAATGGGGAGCAGGTGCACAGAATAAAGTCTAAAGTGAAAGGGCTGGAGCACCCTTAAGGAGGGGGGTACTAATATCGCGACAATAGAGAGGCTCTTTTCCTTGAGAGTTTTTCCTTGAGAAAACACCCTCTTGCCTCGCTGTCCGTAAACTACAACAAGGGCTCAGAGGGAATTGAAATGGGCTACTGTCACGGGAGCCAGGTTGGTTTAGACCCTATGGGAGGCAGCGATTCTGGAAAAAGGACCAGAGACAGAGTTCAGAAAAGACACACGGGTGCTCACAGTGGTGCTCACATTGGTGCTCACAGTGAAGCAGGGAGGTTCGTGCAGACGTGCAGGGAAAATCCGTAGGCAAACGTATCCAGGGCAGTCCAAAGGGAAGCCAGGAAGCAGTCCTTAAGTCCATGGCCGGGAGACCCATCAGGAGACGCGGACAAACAGGAACACCTACGAGACGAGAATCCAAGCCCCGGGCTCAGTGGGTCGGGGAGCATTAACAGGCCTGTGGCCACAGACGTGGGGCGACCTGGCACTAGGCCAGCCATTGAGCTACCGTGAATCAGAGCTGAGCGCCGAAGGCAGGAAGGAGTAAACTTACATAGGGAAACTAAAACAAGGCACACCAGGAAATAATGCAGGTATTTAAGCGGACTCACGTGGGGAGGTTGGAGCGCCCTCTGAGGGAGAGGATGGTGACCGTGACAGCTACACTTATCCCCCAATACCTTTTGGTGAGGTTTTTGGAGAAGAACCCTAGGAACTGTCGTGTCTATGCATAGAAAATGTGTAGATGAGAGAATTTCAGCAGGAAACCCGTGTTTGTCAGGTGACTGTATGTTTTCTTAAAAGACAAGTGTGAGACAGGTCCAATAAAACTGAGATAATATGATCATGCATAGTTACGCTACTTTGTGGATTGATTTTGCTATTATTGTGGCTTGTTTTATTTTTCCCATTCCAAGATGACTTTGAATTACTCATTAATTCAAAAAATGGTTTAATTTAAAAAAATGGATGAAGTTAGGTGGATGTTCTGCCTTTGCCATGGTACAGTGAGACCCTCAAGATCTTCCGTCATCAAGAAACGTAAACAATTGCATTTGATGCCAGGTCATCACCTGAAGATGAGAAAGCGCTACAGTCGTCTGTCAGGCCTGTTCGACACACACGGATTTATTAAGTAGGTTTTTCCCACTGAGAGCTAGAAGAAAGCTACAACGGTGAATTCGCTGAAGAGCCTCAGGTGTGAGGGAGAAAGAGAGGAAGAATGCAGAGATTTCAAGCGGAGGAGATCGAAATTAAGACCATCTCAGAATGTAAGATCTGGTGAGCAAAGTCTTGGAGAAGTTGTGGAAAGTTAAGGTCTAAAAATCAGTGGAAGGAGGTAATTACTCTGTTACCGAGAGCTGCTAATATGTGTGATGTTCGATTTTGCTTGTTTTAGAATCCGAGCCGTGGCTTTCCTGTAAAAGGACAGAAAAGCCAGTGTAATCGTGGGGGGGAGAGGTAAAATGAGGGACACTCGGTTTGGAGAGACCTTTGATTCTTTGACCTAAATATAGCACATACATGGTGTGCTTTTGGTTGTTGTTGAGGTGTTTAATGACTTGGGCTGGTTTTTAACGGAAAGTGGCATTCAGAGCTGAGCAATCAATGCAGAAACAGGACACCACCGGCATAAATAAAGATCTGAGATGCAGGCTGTGCACAGGTTTTATTTGGTCCTTTTTCGTGTCAACCGAATGGTGGGTTCTTGATCTCCTGGAAAAAAAAAGTACAACTCGTTCAGTCGCGTCGAAGGGTGAGTTTGTGGGTGGACGTGACACACAACGTGATATTCTGGCCAAACACTGCGTTCATCATAAATAGTCCCTCTGACGCATTCCCTCTGACATTCTGTCGACACATGGGGGATTTTGTCATTTTTTATTTAAACATTTACATTTTTTAACCGTATGAACAAATGCTACACTAACCTTCTCTGATTTTATTAATAATAATATTTTAGTTTAAACCTCTAAAAAAACAAGCAATAAAAACCGGAAAATCAAGAAAACTTTAAAAGTTTTTCAGAACAAAGAGATGTCGTATCTTAGGTGCTACTTTGTGCTCTGTGGAATAGTGACAAAAGGAGTTTTAATCCAAACAAGTATGATATTTTGCTTTGCTCTGTATTCCCTGTATTAGATCAATCATTTAGACAATATAAAAATGGTATAGGCATTAATATAAACTTTAAAAGGGTCTTGTATTTTTCTCCCCGGAGCCAAATATTCCTGGTTTAGATTAGTGAAGGAAAGTATTCTGAGTAAAAGCAGTCGCATTTTTATGAAGCACAGAACATGTTTCTAAGTCATTAATTATGAGTTTGAGGCCTGCTGAGTGTCGTGCAGAAAATTGTTATTGCCTTTTTTCTTGCAATACTAAAATAACATTTAAAAAAAGAGGGATTGTGCAACCTAACTATATACATTAGAAGGTTTTCTTTCAGCTTTGCTTTTCAGGATTATTTTAGTTGTTTCAGTTAAAATGTGCTTTAATGTGACTTCACTGTAAGAAGCTTGATGGGCTGCATGCAGTTGCACTACAGAGCTCTTCTGAAACTTCACACAACCTGTATTGTGTGTAGCATGGAGGCCCTCTACATCTCTGATTGCAGATTGTTCATGGTTATTCTGAGATGTTAATGTCATTTTTCTTTTTGATTTTTCATTGAATGTTGTAGGGATCTTATACAGTAGGTAGCAGTATGTTTTTCATTGCTTTGTTTGACCAGCTCAGTCAATTGAAGTATACAATGACAGCTTGGACTCCTTTGTCAGGATCAACAGCGACACACCTTGCTCAAGGGTACACCAGCAAGTTTACACTCAGAACTTAGATCCACGGCACTCTGGTCTGGAGTCCAGCGCCCGAACCACAGTTCCACACTGCTGCCTTATAGATCGCTATTTAGATCATTTGCTGCTGAAATGTAGTAAAATAGATCTCATTACAGTATGCCTGTTACACAGCTGTACAGTGAACGCCATTTCACCACTAGATGTGCCAGTGGCTCCTGTCACCTAAATACACGAGGAACTGAAAGGTTTGATTTCTCCGGAGTGAATCTTTCTCCTGAGGCCTGACCCTTCTCTCTGAGACCCTCCCCCTTGTGCAATTCAATCCCTTGTATTGTTATCCTAAACCAGGTGCTTAGCTGGCCCCCAAAAGCTGTGTTGGCCACTCCACACTCATAAGAAAGAAAGCGCCGGGCGTGTTCGTAGACTACACACAAAACAAGTGTTTCAGTTAATGAGGATCACTTAACTTGGATTGATTGTGAGGTTGCCCTACAGGAACACGAGAGGCGACTTATTTCCTTTTTAAGCCCAGCGGAAGGGAACAGTTTTGGTCACTGCCTTGACGGCTGTTTCTCGTGTCCTTCGCCCCACAGATGAAGCATGTGGAGGAAAAGTTTGGCAAAGACGCCAATAAAGAGGTCCTGCTCATGTGCATTGGCATCACGTCAGGAGTGGGCCGCCTGATCTTTGGCAGGGTTGCTGACTACGTGCCTGGCGTCAATAAAGTTTACCTTCAGGTAGGTGCTGCCCAGGAATAACCTCGTACTCTGATAGACCTCATTTTACACGCCCTGGGGCTGAGCTCAGGCTGTTTGATCACTTGCACTGCTTTGCTAAATGCGCTGTCTTACTCATGATGAAGGACCAGAAAACCTCCCGAAAGTTCATTCCATGCTGGAATGCAGAAAGAAGGAGGAAAAAAGCAGGTTTTGTCTGTGAGGCACACCAGAAGAACATCCCGCAGACAAGACCTTGTGTGTTTCTCTTCTTTCTGCTTTTCAGCATTTAATAACCTCTTCTTGCTTTCCTGCTGCTTGCACTGACTTGGCTTCGCGCTCGAACCTGCTGTAAGTGGACCACCTCCAAGTTGTGCAGTGAATCTGCTGGTGTCTCTTGCTTATGCCGAGCATGAACTTTGCTGTATTCGTATCTTTATTGCCCTACCTTGCCGAGATTTAAGCCTCTTTCACACAGTAAGCTTTTATAAGTAGACCTGAGAGACTCATGAGAAAAAATGGGCTCTACTATGTAAAGCTTGCTTTTTCTCTCCTTCATTAGTCTTCATATTCATTTTTTAAGGATTATTACAAGCATGAGTGTGTTGTGAAGCACCCTTAAGATGAGTGAAAATCCTACTGGTGACTGAAGGCAGGAAGGCCTTTCTGTATCAGCAGGCCTGTTGCTTGTGTAGCCGGCGCGTTGCCCCAGGGACAGCGGCCTTTCTGAGTTAACCAAAGTGAGCTGGTGAGAACTAACCAGGCCTCCAGGCTCAGAAGTGAAAGCCCCTGTCCTTTTCCCCCTGGGGGTGTAGGTTTCCTCGTTTGTGGTGATCGGCTTGATGTCCATGATGATCCCCCTGTGTGACATCTTCGGGGGCCTGATCGCCGTCTGCCTGCTCATGGGTCTCTTCGATGGCTGCTTCATCTGCATAATGGCTCCCATCGCCTTCGAGCTGGTGGGCTCTCAGAACGTCTCCCAGGCCATCGGCTTCCTCCTGGGCATGATGTCTGTCCCCATGACTGTGGGACCCCCCATTGCAGGTGAGGCCAGGACCCCAGGCTTTTAAACAGCTGTGCAGAGAGACACAGTGCGGAGACAGCGTGGTGCAGTGGAGGTGGAAGAGATTCTTTTGTGAGTGTTTATACTGCCATCTGCTGGCACACAACGGTCCTGCTGAAGTTTTCCAGTCAATCCCGAGCAGAACATAATACCTCCCAGCGAACAGGTACAGGTTAATTCCCTGCTGAAAAGAGAAGAAAGGAAACACAACGTTTCGGCTGTAGAGCTCTCTTCGGGTGTGTTAGAAATGTGTTTCCTTTCTTCCCTTTCCAGCAGGGAATAAACCTTTACTTGTTCCTTTGCAGCCTACGCATGCTGACGCAGCTCCCCACCTGAACTACATAATACCTCCCAGATCACACAACATGAATATTTAACGTGTCACAGATTCAATGAAATCTACTCTTGTAAAGTACGTAATGCAAATAATAATAATAATAACAATACGTCTGTGTTCACTTTACGACTGGGCCATGTAATGTGAGCTCTTGTGAACAGAAACAAGCTCTGTTTATCATCCACAGAAATACTTTTTTCAGATTGGAAATAAAGAACGAAAAAAGCTTTATAAACTGATTATCTTTAGTTACAAGCACAAGTAAAAACATACTAGAAAGGCTAGGAACACTAGGAAATAAAATTACGATGGACGCTAAACTAATGAAAATCAAGTATTAAGTCCTGAGACAGGTATTACAACAAAAACAGTAAAGGACAATAAACTCTCAGATAATAATGATGGGAAACCTTCAGACGTTGAAAGGGAAACAGACAACGTATTAAATTAATATTTCACTCATGTTTATCAGGGAAGAAGTGCTGAACATGCCTCAGCTCCGATTCAGGTAATATTAGGATAGAAGAGGCAGGTACTACAAGTACAAATACTAGAGGCACTACTGTAGACCTAGCAGGTATTGTAGGTTTTATCTGACTTGCCACGTGTTCAGAGAACTCCCACAGCTGCAATATTCTTACAGAGCATATTAATACGGTCTATTTCATGTTCAAGGGCTTTTTGGTAAGGTTCCACGCGAAAGATTCATTCCTAAATGGTAGGAGGTAACCCTATAAGGTAAGGCGTATCTTTGGATTAAGAATTAGTTCATGGATTAAGAGCAGATAAGAGAAGAACGCTCAGACCGGGGCGATGTTGGCACTGTACCACTGGGACCCAGGGTCTCCTGCAGCAAGAAGCTCAGGCCGGGTGGCGTCCTCCCACTGATGACATGAGGGGGCGTGTTAACAGTAATCTAGCTGTCTAAGAGCCCGATCACTGCTCCAGCTGCAGTCTCCTATTATTGTAACTAAACAACACTGTCCTTAACAAGACGGTTTTTACTGTGGTTAGGGCATTGTGGTTTACTGAATAAGAGAAGAATGCTCTAAAGCTTATTTACAGTGCAGAATAATACCGTGTTAATGGGTTGTCTCTGTTCAACCATTTAATCATAAGAAAAGGCTTAAAGGAGAGCTGGCCATGTGTCCCATCTCGCGGATTTGGTAGTTAGACTTTTCTTGAGAAAGACGTCGGAGTATCAGCTTCAACAACATGGATGGGTTTCGTACAGTGCACTGTGCAAAGAAGGGGCCCACTTTCTTGGTTTTAAATGCACTTCTCATTAATTTTCTAATATAATGAGATAACCGATTCAGTTTTTCTCACTTGTCCTACATTCCTTACGCCTAGAGTAAAAAGCAGCAAAAAGTCCTAGTGCATCAGTGCCTCCAAGAGGAAAGTCAGTGTAGGTTTCCTTCTCCTTTATTCTCATCCAATCAGCTGTCTGTCAGTGGATGAAAATTTACTGCTGAATCACTCTGATGCTCCTACAATTCTAAACTGGATTTGTTCAGCTACAGTGAGATTTTATTTATTCCATGTAGCTGAGTTTAGGAAATTCTAGAAAGATTCTCTAAGGGTTTTAGAGATGAAAGAGCGCGCCGTAGCTTTCCTGCTGATATCGGGGGTTCTAAGACAAACAAAGGGAATTCGTGTGAGAATATAATATAGGGTTCTTAATTAGAAACTCGGGGGGTGCTGGAGACCATTTAGATTCAATTCAATTCAAGGTGCTTTATTAGCATGACCGATGGGTACAATCAGTGTTGCCAAAGCAAATAAAAATAATAAAATGAACACGAAACAAAGCAAAAATAAAAGTAAAATAAAATCTACAGACATATTACAGACATTTACAACAAACACATATCATAAAATTTTTCCATATACTGTAGACAATTTAGAGGGCTGCCTTGGTGGCGGTAGGGCCCTCTAGTGGTGATCCGGGGAAGAAGCCTTCCTCTGTGACACAGCTCCTAGACAAAGACATGGGGAAACACCAAAACATCAACACCAGCAATAACAAGGTAAATAGTACACAACTTCAAGAAAAGTCAGTTAAGCAGTGTGAGGGGAAAAATAAAAAAACAGTCAGTTTAAGGGGTAGAGTTCAGTAATCTGACGGGAAGTAAATCTGTGGGAAGAGACTGTCTCTGAATCTGGAGGGTTGTGCCTCTATGCTCCTATGACGCTTCCCAGAGGGCAGGGGAGAGACAATTGAGAAACCGGGATGATTGTTATCCTCAGTAATACCCCCAGCCTTCCTGAGACAGCGTGTTATAAAAATGTCTGAAATAGAGGGGAGCTGTACCCCAGTGATGGACTGGGCTGACCTGATCACCCCCTGTAACGCCTTCCGCTCGGACAACGAGCTGCTGCCGAACCCCACTGTCACCCCACGCGTGAGCACACTCTCAGTAGCGCACCTGTGAAATGCGGTAAGGACGGTTGAAGATAGACCAAATGTTTTCACCTGTCTGAGGAAGGAAAGGTGCTGTTGTGCCTCCTCTGTAGCTCCAGTTACATGCTGGGACCGCGTTCAGTCATTAGTCATGAAGGGACCCAGGAACGTGAAGCTGCTCACCATCTCTGTAGCCGCCCCGCTGATGTGAAGAGGGAGGGATTATTGCCAAGGCACCACGCCAGCAGGGTCCAGTGTAACAGTGTGTGACTGTTAAAAAAAAACAGGATCAGCAGTGCGGAGGCTCCCGCGGTGATGGAGGCGCTGGCGAAGTTAGCTGGATCCGCGTCATTCGTACGCTTCAGCCTGCGGCTCCTGATTCGGGCGGTGGCCGGGCGGGACCTGAAGAGACTGTGCCCAAATTGAACCGACAGGGTGTCTTGCGGTGCTCTTTTTTCTCGTGACGCTGAAGGCTTTTAGAAAAGTCAAAATTTTTTGCGCCCGATGCCTGCTAACGCAGGTTGAAAAACAGGCTTCGGCGCTGCAACATTTGCATCCATTTGCCTAGAGGCAGGGTCTTCACCGTGCGGGGGTGCGGTGAAACTCTCAGCCGGCAGGGCTCTGCCTGTGGGCCGACGGTCCGCCATCCCTGACAGATGCTGCACCCGTCCAGGCAGGCGAACGGAATTCAAAAACAAAAAGAAAAATCAGACCGCGGAATAAAAAGAGCCAACAAGGACTGTCAGGAACTGTCGTTATCAGACATTGGCATAGAGCAGTGATTTCTAGTCCCGGTCCTGCTGCCCCACACACACCTCTGTGTGTTGGACTTGTCTTGTATCTTGTATATTGTAACGCAACAGGGGCTCAGGCGGGCGCCCTTGCCACATTAGGTCGGCCCCCCACCGTCAGGGGCTCAAACCCGGGACTCCCCCATCTCTCTGCAGCGACCCAGCCCGGTGAGCTAAAGAGAGATCTCTCTACAGGCCAGTAGCTGTAGTCCTGCTATTACAGGGAAGGGCGGTGACGTCACCTGCTCTGGTACGCCGGCTCTTACACAGTCCCTGTCGGCCGTAAGCGTTACAGTATTCTTTGTATTTATCGTTGTCGACATTCTCTAAAGCGCTTTGAGAAGCTACCTTTAAAGGCGCTATATCAAATAAAGTTTATTTTTATTATTATTATTATTATTACCTGCAGGTTTTCATTCCAGCCCACCATCATTAGATGACTGAAGCCTTTGCTCGATCTGAGAAGGTGCTTCAATCGAGTATGTGCGTTCTGTTTCCAGTCACAAGTTCTGGGTTTTACCTCACGTACAAAATACAGCAGTTAAAGCCCCCACATGTCCAGGCCGGGAGCTGACATCCCTCTGCCTATCCTTAAGGCCAGGAAGGGTGGGACTGTGCAGCTGAGCGAGGTGTGATGTAGCCGGCGCGCTTGGCTGCGATGGTCTCCCCGCCCTGATTCCCGTCGTCTCCCGGCAGGCTTCCTCCGCGACCGGCTGGGCTCCTACGACGTGGCCTTCTACCTGGCGGGCATCCCCCCGCTCATCGGGGGCGCGGTGCTGTGCTTCATCCCCTGGGCGGAGCGCAGGAAGAGGAGGCAGCAGCAGGAGGCGGCGGGAGACACGGCGGAGAAAATGCTGGGCGCCAAGCCCAACGGCGCCTTCCCAGTCGAGGGCGCCGGGGGAGAGAAGACGGACCACGAGTCGGCCGTGTGAGACACGCACACGCCTGGACACACACAGAGACGCATTGGAATTAAGTGCTAAATATGTTTATAATATGCATATATATACCTATATATTTCTACAGAAGCCTATATATATACAATATCTTTTTAAAACTGCTTTGTAGGAAAACCTGGGGAAACTTTTGAAGGAATGGTGCATATCCGTGAAACGCCACACAAGAGGAATTGACAATCTCTGTAATGTTCTCGTTAAAAGTATCCGTTGCAGTGTCCTTTTGGTTCAGCATGCTCCCGGCTCCGCAGGTTCGGCGCGCGTAGCCGAGGCCGGTGTCCTTTGACGAAACCAGCCTCTTTGAAGTGTTGCGGCTGAGGTCTGAACGAGGGAATGCGTGCTTTTGGAAAAAAGGTGCTCAATGCTCAAAGCTTCAAGCAGCTAACCGCCTGTGGAAGAAGCCACGGGCTTAGGAACAGCAGAGGTGGATTTGGAAAATTTTAAGAAATAGTGCATTTGTTTTTCGAAAGTGCGAGTCTCGTTTCTGCTGCTCGCAGTCAAGAACCAAATATTACACAAAACACTTTGATGCGACCAAAGACATGATACTTGTTTGTACCTAGCTGTAAGTGATGCTGACCTGGAATTCTTTGAATGTAAGCGTACAAGTGGGCAGCAGAAAGTGACATCATTTCGACAGTGTCGTTATTTCAAAACTGCCAGAAAGCACTTAGTACCATTCACGCGTACACTAAGAGAAACATCCCAATGGTCGTTGTGACTGCTCTCCTCTTTTGAGCCACTTCCTCATCTGCCTTTCATTCCAAATCACTTATTGTATGACGTGATCTCCTGAGGTGTCGAAATCACCACTATTTTCAAGGCGTTTGCACATTATGTAAGTTATCTGGAAACTCGTCTTAAGCGGCATTTCAGGACCAAGAGTATGGTGACTTCAACGTCTGCTAGTGGGAATAATTTTTAAAAAGTCCTTGCAGAAGGAATGAAGATGTTTTTCGCTTAATTTGAGCACTTGATTTTCGCCATCCGTCCTTCTTTAGTAATGTCAGGTCTTATCGCTAGACCCATTTCCTTCTTGCCATGCAGCAGGAGCGTGTAGGAGCACAGCGTAAAAAAGCACACCAGGGGGAGAGGGATCTGGAGAATTATTTTTATAATAGAATGAAAAACAGTTTTGTCTGAGAAGGTGCTGGGACACCTTATACACCATATAAGAGATCTTAAGCACAAGAATTCCAGCCGGTCAACATACGCTGCATGGGCCACTTTAAGTGCTGTTAAATGCAAAGATGGACACCAGATCCAAGAACTCAGTCTTCTTCATACTTGTCGGATTGTTTGCTGCTTGATGCTTTTCATAAACTGCTTCTGAGGGCAGATTTACAAGGGAGAGGCGTTAGAATCTATATCGTAACAACCGGTGACTGAGAGTCGTGCTGAGTGTTAAATAATTACTGCGAAGAAAATCTTGTATATATTTCTCTGCAGTAGGCCGACGTTCAGTCTGCTTTTCTATGCAATGTAAATGCAAGTTGGCTCTGTGATTACAGTTGATCACCTTACAAAAGCTGTAATCAATCGAGGTTGTACAACAGAATATGCTTAGCAAGCATGTCTTACAATCAGTTCCAGTAATCGTTGTACACAGAGGATCAATACAGGCACTGTATTATAAGCAATAGTTCTGTAAACACGGCACTGAGATAAAAACACTGAGAACTCGACTGCCGACTACTGCTGGGGAAAAAAGGTTGTTTTGTATTGGGTTTAATATTAACACACATTTGCACAAGCCTCGGCTGTTCCTATAAAGGAAGTCATCTTTGTACTACAAATTCTGAAGAAAGAACCACCCCTAAAAATCTTCAAAATTACATTTGTGTTTTTTTTTCTTTATTGGTTTGTAAACACAAAGATTTATTGAAAAGCAGTTGATCCTGGTCCAATTTAAGAACAGCCTCACTTATTTACATAATTTCAGTTACTTAGCAAATTAATGTTGTATAATCCTATAACCATGTCTGTCATGTGTGGTTGTTGGCCAGATTATTTCTTTGTGGGGCATTTCAGTTCAGTGCATGTATCCATGGTCCGAGCACACTGTCCTCTACTTTTAGGTCTTACCATCGTCATGGAAATTGGCTAAGGGACAACTTTTAACATGTACAGTAATTGAAAATGTGTGTTCTGAAATACTTCCTTAGTGAAGAAAGTATTTTTAACACACCAAGTTGTATCGACTTTTTCTTTATTCTTTTTGATGAGCATTTATATGCTCTTAAAAGCAGAAGGCAAGCATTACTGAAATTGACCCGAACAAAACATTGGGGAGTGCTAAACTGATCGTTAACTTCAAACCAGCCAAGCTGTTTTTTAACCAATGACATTTCAGAGGCAGCATTTGCCGTTTGATCCTAAATGGATCCCATAATCCTTCCTGAGACTGAGGCAATATGAAATTGCTTATTTTCTATACTAGAAATGCATAAGGTTAGAACATTGAATTGCAGTACCTATATAAATGTTATCGTCTGAAAAATGATAATATGCAGTGAGTTTCGTGTGACGAATTACCTTCATGTGTTCATTGCCTGAAAGATCTTTTAGAATGTACATTTGAGACATATTTCTAGTGTCCATCTTTGAAGTACTGTTAAAGAGATAAATGAATCTACTTGTTTAATGTAAATGAAGTCAATGTTCTGACATCAGTTCTGTGAGATTTTTTTGTGTAAACGTAACAATCGAAAGGGAGTTTTTCTGTCCTCACAGACTAGACAAAAATGATTTGCTCATTTCTGTTGTTTTTTTTTTACATAGGATTTTAAAAGGAAGTGAGAAGTATGTGATTTGTGAGTGGGTAAAACAAACATATACAAAAGTAATTCATCATTTCATTCTAAAAATACATACAAAAAAACGACAGCATTCATGTCTGTGCTGGCAAGTTACAGTCTTCAGGTACCTGAACTCTTGTCTGGCACTTGTCAACCACACATGCACAAGAAAGTCATAGAGTGCTGTCGCTTTTGAAGAAGTAATAATTCTCAGTGGAACCATGTCATGATGGCTGAAGGCCTGCAAATCAAACACTGCCACAGAAATGAATTCTTGAGTTTTCTCTGCTGGAGAGCCCTCAATCCTCAATACTGCCTTGGGCTGAGGCATTACAATCTTGAGGATTGTAACCTCGAGTCCTAAATTATGCATGCAAAACAACTGATTCCTAATTTATGTGAATGTGTGTGATCACAGCTCATTTTCTCATCTGTTAAAACTTTACTTGCGTAACGAAAACGTATTCTTAACCTCACATTGTTAATGCTGCTGTCGTTTACAGTTGTTTTGTTTTCGTGACAGAGTTCTCATTACCTCACTTAACGCGCAATTCTGTTTATACTTTCAATTCAAGGTCGTGTCATTTCCAGGGAGCTCCCTGACAGTCCTTCAGGAACTGAAGGGATTGTACTGGAAAGAAACTGCCATTTCTTTAAAATAAAGGATGTCCCAAGAATTCTGAAGTGCAAACACACTTGTGAAAGAGTGTTTTATACCACAGGTGGACCGCTTGAAAGAATGCGAATTGTCATGATTTAAAAATAGTTCAAACAGAATCCTCGAAGGCATCCTGGGTGTCACTGGAAAGTATTGTACTAAATTTATCTTACAGAGCTCTGCGATACACTGAGATGCCAAGAGATCAGTTTCTTTGCCTTTCCATGTGGAAATAACTACAGCCAAGCCAACCCAAAGAGGTGGGGTGACATTTTCACCTCGCCCATAGACCTATAATGCGTATGTCTTAATTGTGCTGTTTTCTGAACAGAAGAGTGTGTTTACACCTATATTATTTAAAGATGTGGCTAAATACCTAATTAGTCAGCATGTTGTTGACAAACAATATAGGATATTTTAATTTTTACATTGAGTCCTTTTTCATTTTTCCATTAATGCAACCGGAATAAACTCCATTTGCATTTATCACAACTGTGCAGAAGTAAATGTCTAAACCAGGCGTCCTGTTAAGCATGCTTTTGTGTTAAAAAAGGTGTACAAAAACTGGAAAAATGAATCTATATCAGAGTGTTATTATTGCCTTTCATGCTTTATTTCAAGTAGTTGCGCTAGTTTGCTGTGTCTGCCATCATTGCGTCCTGTGATTTAACTAAGAGGAAGAAAGATTAAGTATTAGCTGCTTCCATCTTTGAAGTGATCTTGTGTTTATTCTTTTTCTTTGTACTCTGTTCTCAAAACCTTATTATTGGTTAAGTATGTATGTTAAGATTTTATAGTGTTAATTGTTTTAATCATTCACTTAAACCATTGTATTTTGGGGAGTTTTGTTCTGTGTTCCATAAGTGCATGTTTTACTATTGATTTAAAGATATGCAATCTACCAAACAGACTGAAAAATGTATGATGAGACCTTTTGAACGAAGTAAAGATATTTTTAACTTTTTGTTTGGAATTTTTGTATTGATTTGGTGTGAGATTACTGGACACAGTAAATCTTTGCCTGTAACTACACTGTCGTGTAGTCAGACCACATGTTTAAATTCCCCCTAGTACACATTAAAAAAAACTTCAGGACAGGAGCCCACATTTCTGTAGGACTGGGAGAGGCAGTGTGGCAGTCGCAGCACGTCCATGGAGGCAGGGTGATGCAGGGGGAGTCCAGTCCCAAGACCAGGGAGCGGTCCGGTCCGGTCCAGGAATCTGCCACGCTTCACGGACAGTGTTCTTCCAGATGTGCTCTGGAAACAGGTTATCCCACTGTCTGCTGTATCAGCTCCACTTCATCCAGGAGCCTCCTGCGGTCCTGCAGGGGCTGCTGTACCTCAGTGCTCGGGTAGCC